GGCCTGGCAATCTACTTCTGAAAATCAGCCAATGAAAACCCTAAGGATAAGACTGTCTGATCCACAAACAATTATGCTGATGGCACAGGACCCGGCAGTGTTTCTTTCAGTTGTTCATGGGGTCGCTATGAGTAGATAGCCAACTCAATGGCAGCTAACAACAACAATGCAAATAAGATGGGATTTCTACACATTTTACAGAGAAAGATAACGGAGTCCTTCACTCTTTAGCTTTGTTGAGGAATTCTGCTTAGGGGAATGAGGATGAATCGCCCACTTTTATTTTGTTCCTGATGATTTTGTTTTTGTTTCACTAACTGGTAAGTTTTAGGTGAGCAAAATTAGAATCTGCAGAAGTGGTTAAAATGAGGAATCTGAGGTCAACTCCTTTGTTCTCCTTTTTGTCATCCTCCTCCTCTTCTTCTTCATCTTCTTCCATTTTAAATAATTATTTGTAAGGCAAAAGCATGATTCACGTAGAGTTTTAATCTCAATGGAAGTCTTAGCTGCACCATTTGAAGTTAATTCAATCTACTGAGATATACAGTTAACCAACTGGTCTGATAAAATTGCTTTTCTATCTTAGAGTTTATAATGTGATTAGCAAACTTCAATTTATAAAATAAAATAGACTTTATTAACAAAACAAGGACATTTCTGCATAACTTTTAAATGACTTAAATTTTTATTTTTGATTTAAAAAAATAAAATGTACCCTCCATTAAACACACACATAACACCACACACCGAATTAAAAGCAATTTCTTATATTTGCTACAATGTGCAATTAAATGTTTCTACCTTGGATGAAAGGGAATGAACTGTGGTTAGAGGTGTGTGTGACAACTGGCCGTCTGTAGTAGACTGCCAAAATCACCTGTTACCTGATATGTTAAAAATAATGCCAATGATAACAATAACAATAACAGCTGCAGACATTTGAGTAATTAGTAAGCTTCAGGCAGAGTGGTTTATGAAAGTTATCTAATTGTTACAACTAACTAAAGAAAGGCAGTATTATCATCATTTTACAGATGAGAAAACTGAGGTTTTAGCCAGTAAGCAGCAGAGCTGAAATTCTTATCCATGCCTGTTCATTTCTCTGCACACCATTCATTGGGTACCTTTCCAGTAATCTACGAGTGGTCTTCAAGAAAAGATTCCTAAGCATCCATCCATTTATTTCCCAGACAAATTAAATTTGAGGTGGGAGATACTAATTTATTTAGACAATTACCTCTTGCTACCACGTGTTTAATAATATTATCCATTCTACTTAATTGCATTCCCTAAAGGTATCTATTCTCAATTAAGTGAAATGAGGAAAGAAGTCTGAGCAGGAGAGCAAGGAAAGGAAATTAGGCAGTTCTTCTTATGAATCATATTTTGTCAGGAAAGAGGCAATTCAATAAAGCACTTTATAGCCATGTATGTATAGGGCACCGTGCGTGACACACAGAGGAATAAGATAGTGTTCCTGCCCTCACAAAGCTCACTACCATGTATTCGGAGGAGACAGATAAATACTCAGTTAGTGATGGTAAAAGGTAAGCTCTTTATTACCACCAATTATTAAGCACTTATGATAGCCTAGGCATTGTGTTAAATATTCATTATTGTCATGGATTGAATTGTGTCCCCCCAAAATATCTGTCAACTTGGCTGGGTCATGATTCCCAGTATTGTATGATTGTGTACCATTTTGTAATCTGATGTGATTTCCTTATGTGTTGTAAACTCTATCACTATGATGTAATAACATGGATTAGCGGCAGTTATACTGTGAAGATAGGGTCTTAAGCAATCTCTTCTGAGATATAAAAGAGAGAAGCGAGCAGAGACACATGGGAACCTCATACCACCAAGAAAGCAGTGCTGGGAGCAGAGCGTGTCCTTTGGACCTGAGGTTCCTGCGCTGAGATGTTTCCAGACCAAGGGAAGACTGATGACACGGACCTTCCTCCAGAGCCAAAAGAGAAGAGAAAGCGTTCCCCTGGAGTTGGCAACTGAATTTGGACGTGTAGCCTACTAGACTGTGAGAAAACAAATTTCTCTTTGTTAAAAGCTTCCACTTGAGGTACTTCTGTTAGAGCAGCACTAGACGACTAAGACAATTGTCCTCCTAAAATCTCAATTACTATCCCCATTTTCCAGGTGTGGAACAAAAGGATAAAAAACTTGTTCAATATCATACCATTAGAAACTGGTGAAATCTAGCTTTAATCCAAAGTCTGCTATGCAGCAAAACTCTGGTCCTAACCATAAGACCATCCTGCCCCAACCTAGGAGGAGATAGTGATTAATGCTGCAAAAACAGATAAAGGCTTGAATTCCAAGAACATCAAACAAAATTGTAATATAAGAATCATCCAAACCCAAACTGGTGATCTTAATGGTATTCATTACTTTCTCAAACTTTGCTGGAGTGAAAAAATTATCTAAAAATGTACACTGGGCTTGGTATTCCAAAACAAGTGATAAGCATGGACCATATAGATTTGGTTCCATACAGTAGACTCTGTGGTCCTGGGCACCTACTACTTACAGCCTCAGGGGAAGTTCCTGTATACCTGGAGAGTAACTGAGGTAGAAGAGCAGAGATGTTTGATGGGAGGCATGGAGGTGATTCTAAAGCTCACGTTTTCCTAGTACCTACCATTCTTTAAAGTAAGAGTTTCAGAACAGCTGCCTCCAGGCCACAAAGCATTTTAAAAATCATTATTTAAATATACTTAAACAGAGCCTATCATTTCTAATCCCACCACCTCCCTATTATCTCACACCTGGCCCACTTTGAGTTGCAAGCCTGCTCCCTGTGGCATTTGTGTTTATAAACCCTGCTTTAGATTCTCTCTAAGAAAAACTTAAACAGGAATAAAATGATCTTCTCAACATATTGGTCAAGCTATATATTATCTTCTATTCCTGTTGAGAAATAATCAAATTGAACACAGTTCTGTCAAAAAGCCACACAGATCTAAAGTCTATACGTACCTGGAGGTTAAGCTCATTCTACCTCCTGGAATTCATCCACCAAAGCACTTTGGCCCTAGTTGACCATATCTAGTGCTAGAAGCCTATTAGTAGGGAAATGAGAGCCTGGAGCTATTCTTGATGAATGCAGGCTAAGAGGCTGGTAGGCAAATACATGAAAAAGATAACTATCATCATTTCCAAAAAACCCAATTGAATGCACTGGTGGAGAGGAATGAATAAGTGAATCAGTGAGTATATGGAGTGAAGCCAAACAGTCTACATTCCAAACTACAGAGGCTGTCCAATATGCCTCTTAACATTGGCTAGAAAATGAGAGGTAAACCTGCATCATCACCCAAAACACTTCAAACAGAAGTATTTATTCCTCTCTAACTCGTAGTTGTCCTGCCCTCTGCAAAAGGAGCTTTTTTGCCTTAAAGATATTGTATCTGGGTGTGTCCAGCTGACTTATGGACCATTTAACTTAGTCATGACCAAGGCTTCACAGAGTATATGTATACCAGGCCTAATAGTGCTTGATATTTTAAGGGAAAAAGAGATTCTTTACTAAGCCTATCCATCACCGTTATATGCTAAGCCTGCTTTGTCCAGAAACAAATGGGAACAGATGCATCACTGAACACATTAAAAGGTGAAGAAATGTGGAAATTGAAGGTTCACACTTTCATTTCAATGCTAAGCAGCACTGCATGAGTTTGCAATAATATCAATCACGCGTGATGGATTATTTTCAAATTAAAACTGGAACGAGTGTCACTGCATGCTATTTTTTTTTCATTTACAATGTTGTAATGTAGAACTCATTTGATGTTTCATAACTCATCATAATGCACCCCCCCAAAAAAAGTAAGTTTTTTCCTATTCTAAATTTAACTCTTAAGAAGAAAATTAAAAACAAAACAAAACTCTAAATAACACCATTTAGACTACTGGGTTCTTTTTTTATATCCACATTTTAGAAAGAAATACAGACAAACTTAGTAAAAGTAAAATGTTCTTGGCAGAACAAAAAGCAATATCCTACGAATGGCTAAAGGATTCAGGAACATTTAAGGGAATTTATAGGCAAAATCCCAATGTCTCCCTGGGCTTAACCTATAGCACTTAGTACTTTTCTGGTCTTATCACGCATCATTCTCTGTTGTTACCTCATTTTAATTGTTTGTCATGTTCACCAGTCATGAGATTCAAGGGCACTGGCTGTCTCATTTACCTTTGTACCTGCTGTACATATCAAAGGGTCTGACAAAGAGCAGGAACTTAATATTGTTTTACTAATGGATGGATGAATAAAGAAAATGCACAACTGTGTGTGACCCAACAACTAGAATTTACTGTACAATAGATTTTGACTCAATATGAGGTTGAAGCTTTTCTAAGAGTCAGAACCAGCTACAGTTGGAAATGGCTGCACAGGGGTTTAAGTAGTGGTGAGGCCACAAATAAGCATGAGTGTAGTATAAAAGATGCAAACTCTGGGTCCTGAGTTGGACCTTATGATCTTTAAGATGCTTGCCAACCCTGAGGGTCTATGATTATAACATAGATCCTTCCCATGTTTGGGTCATAATTTAAACTAAACTCATTAGGTCTCTTTTCTTTGGCTGGAATTTCATAGATGACTTTTCAAACCAAAGAATTTTTTTTCTTTAACTTGAAAAGTCATCAAAGTAATGCTCTAGAAAATCTGTTCAACTCTCACATACTTTCTATTTGGCTGATACATTTACTGCGTGCAGTTGAATCAAAGGTAACTTGGTATCTGCTTTTCTATAAGCTCTCTTTCAAAATGAATGGGCCCAAGGAATGACTTAATAAATCAAAAATGGTACTCCTCACTAAAGAAGGTTTTAACATTTTGGCCCCAAGGTAGGAACAAACCATGCATAAGGAATTAATTAAGGTTATTTACCCTCACACCACTGTATTTAATCACAGAAAATGATCACTATACTTCATCAAACCAACGTCTGCTTTTAATCATAAGGTGGTTAGCTACTTACCACAAAAGAATAATAAATCTTAAATCCAGGTTTAGCCACAAAGTAATCATCAGACTTGAATGTTATCTTAATTTGGTTTGTTCTTGATGTTATCCTTGGAGGAACTTCTTTGTGTCCACACCATCGTCCTCTAATAACAGTACTGGTTTCAGATATATCTTCAACTTCCACAAAATCATACCTAGAATCAATTTGACATAAATGAACATGTTTTCATTAAAGTAAACTTTAACATCCATACTGTCATCAAGAAATTTAAACAAATATACATGATTTCTCATGACCTACTATCTGAAACGAAAATTATAACCTACATAAACATTAAAAGGAAGCTAGGTTTTCCAAACTCAAACTTCAGTAATTTATTTGAACAGACAGAACCTTTTACTCATTAAGCCATGATTGTTCCCAAATCATCAACAACTGAAATGGTCTACTTCTTAGGCATCTGGCTTATAGAATTTTCCTGGAAAAAATAATAACCATAATCTGTTGGCATATTTTAGGAGTTGTAGCTCTAGTTACATGCTCAAATGTTTACTATATAAAGCTTTTCAAACAAATTTTCACTTCAAATTAATTAATTTACCATATTTAGGTGTTCCACTGAGAAAAGGAATGATCTATTTTTATATCTTTCTATCATATAGAATCAGCATTGTCATTACAGAAGATAAATGGATACGGACATGATGGGCTGTCTTCTCATTTGGGACACTGTATGTTTTGGAAGGATCACGTTATAAAACATGACATTTATCATGATGGAAAGTGTGTAACTTTGGGGATAGATGTACTGTAACCAATACTGGAAATGTCCGGATTGTTTAAAACAGGGTGTGAATGAGCTTAAACCATAGTTCCACTTTAGACATTAGTGAAAGAAACATAGAATTCCTGTATTGAAAAAGACAAGGAAGCCCTCTTTAGATATATAGCGTTTGATCCTTGAAGCCCTTCCATAATATCCCACCTTTCCATGACAGAGTAGAACATCTTCACTGACAGAGTACACATTTTCTAGGGATCCTGGCTGAAAGCAGAGACTATCAGAAAGATATTTACCTGTGTTTTATGGAATATGCAAAGGCATTCAACTGTGTGGTTCATGACAAATTATGGAAAACATTGCAAAGAATAGGAATTCCAGAACACTTAACTGTGCTCATGAGGAACCTGTACATAAATCAAGAGGTAGCTGTTTGAACAGAACAAGGAGGTACTGTGTGGTTTAAAATCAGGAAAGGTGTGTGTCAGGGTTGCATCCTTTCACCATACTTATTCAATCTGTATGCTGAGCAAATATCACAAGAAGCTGAACTTTATGAAGAAGAATGTGGCATCAGGATTGAAGGAAGACTCATTAACAACCTGTGATGTGCAGACGACACAACCTTGCTTGTTGAAAATGAAGAGGATTTGAAGCACTCACTGATGAAGATCAAAGACTACAGTCTTCAGTATGGATTGCACCTTAACATAAAGGAAACAAACATTCTCACAACTGGACCAATAAGCAACATCATGATAAATGGAGAAAAGATTAAAGTTGTCAAAGATTTCATTTTACTTGGATCCACAATCAATGCCCATGGAAACAGTAGTCAAGAAATCAAATGACATATTGCATTGGGCAAATATGTTGCAAAAGACCTCTTTAAAGTGTTAAAAAAACAAAGATGTCACTTTGAGGACTAAGGTGTGCATGATCGAAGAAGCCATGATACTTTCAATCGCCTCATATGCAAGTGAAAGCTGGACAATAAACCAGGAAGACCAGAGAAGAATTGATGCCTTTGAATTATAGGGCTGGTGAAGAATACTGAATACACTATGGACTGCCAGAAGAATGAACAAATCTGTCTTGGAAGAAGCACAGCCAGAATGCTCCTTAGAAGCAAGGATGGCAAGACTTCATACTTTGGACATATTATCGGCAGGGACCAGTCCCTGGAGAAGACATCAAGCTTGGTAAAGTAAAAGGTCTGCACAAAAGAGGAAGAGCCGCAATGAGATGGACTGACACAGTGGTTGCAACAATGAACTCAAACGTAGCAATGGTTGTGAGGATGGCGCAGGACCGGGCAGTGTTTTGTTCTGTTGTACATATGGTCGCTATGAGTGAGAACTGACTCAACAGCATTTAACAACAGCAACACAACTTATTTCATTTTCAGACCCCCGAGACCTTGGAATATTCTATTCCCTTTCAGTTCTGGCCTGTGTCTCACTCCTGTACTCTACCTCACTCAGAATAACTTCAGATGCTAAAGCCACAACACAAATGATGGGCATTCACGGTAAAAAGTGGCAGAAGTCTGTTCATATCCATCTTAATCTTTCTGTCACAGTTACCAAAAGGAATTAGCATGAGAAACATCACCTCTGAATACGAAGGAAAATCAATATGGTTTTACTGGTCTTAACCACATGTCCCTCAGGGCTCTTATTGGATTGGGCAGGGTAATGTAAGGAGCAGGTGAAAAATAATGACATTGTGATTAAATTTCTCTGACAATGATTTACGAGGCCCTTGTGTCCTTTGCCTCAGTTTCCTTACGGGCAAAATAAGAAGGTTTATATAATTTTACCAGCTGGATCTCTCATGGGTGCTGTGTAAATTAATTACTTAACGTTTATATGGTGCTTGGAAGGTGAAAAGCACTAACAAAGAATCATTATTCAAGCAATAAAATATTACAGTGTAAACATCAAGGAGGCTTTGGAACAGATGGTAGGGAATTAACTGCATTTCATTTTATATACAATATGTGTAAATCATATTTACTGCATATAGGATGAATACACTTGAAACTTTGTTGATAACACAATAGGTCACTGTTGTTTAAAACTACACAAAATCTGTGTAATTTTAACTCTGGATCTGAAGTCAGGAGAGCACCATTTTGTTTTTCAAGGAGAGTTCCGAGGCATTTCTTGGATCTACCTCTTTCGCTTCTCCTCCTTTCCCATTTCTTACTCCTCTCCCTCCCTCCATAAATTCTGAGGACCATTTAGATTTGATGAAGGCTCCAGACAGGAAGCCATCTAACACTTTCTCTATTATTTTGGAGTCTAGGATGCCAAAAGTGTTCATTAAAAAAAAAGTCAACATGGAGTTGACTCCAATTCATGCTGACCCCATGTATTTCAGAGTAGAACTGCACATTCCATAGGGTTTTCAATGGCTGTGACCGTTTGGGAGTTGTTCACTGGGCCTTTCTTCCGAAGCACCTCCAGGTGGATTCAAAAAGCCAGTGTTTCGGTTAGTAGTTGAGTGCTTAACCATTTTGCTGGGAGTCGGAATCCACTCAGCGGCTCCCAACGACAACAACAACAGGGTGTCAGAAGGGCTCACTACTAGGATCAAAATCCCAGCTCAGTAATGGAGCCCTAGCTTCTCTTCCATGTCACCACCTTTAACAATCTTATAATGGAGTGTTTTTTTTCACAATCTCTCTCTCTCTTTCTTTTCCAGCACAGAAAATGAGCTCTACCTTTCAAGGTTGGAAAGGCACAAGATCAGCTCTAGTTTATCCTCTTTGTAATATTAACTGGCTCTTCCTGCATGTATTATGCTCTGCTTTCTGGCATACCTTACCCTCTGTGGTCCTAGAAAGTAATAGTCACTGCTGTTATTTTCAGAAAAATAGCAACATAATAAAAGCTGTCAGCATAATAAACATGCAACAAAGGACAGCCAAATTTGAGTCACCCTCTTTTTATTATTCAAACGAAAATAAACCTGCTGAAAGGATTTAGCAGTTCAGTAGTTCATTGGCAATGCAGAACAAGTGTGTGCAGTAAAGTACAAAAAAGAGAAAAAAATTCTCTCTAAGTCTTACACATGCTAATTAAGTGAATGAGATGCTGTGAGAGGATAATTCAAAGAACAGCCCAGGTTTTCTCTAATAAATGTGCTAAGAAGGAAGATTATCAGGCACAGCTTTCATCTTCTTCTGCTGGCCCAGAATCTATGTGGAAACAGACCTTCTGAGAAGCACACGAACGCTGGGGTTGTCTTCTCTTCTTTCTCACACGTATCTGAGGCCTTAAAGCTGTGATTTGGAGGGAAGGCCCTGACACAGTCGTTGGTCATCTTCTATTCCTAGTGTTAGAGGGAATCATTACTGTGTATCTATCAGTGTGTGGTCCGGATCAGCTCCAGGAGCTGAGCAGGGTTTTACTCTCCTTAAGCCCAACCATCATGTGTTGATATGGTGCTGAACAAGTTTCAGCGGAGTTTGCAGACTAAGATGGACTAGGAAGAAAAGCTTGGCGATCTACTTTAGAAAATCAGTCAATGAAAACCCTACGGATTACGATGGTCCAATCTGCCACTGATCATGGGATGAACAGGAATGGGAGTGTTTTATTTGCTTGTGCATTGGGTCACCATAGTTGGGGGCTGACTTGATGGCAGCTGAATAACAACAAGCCCAGGCAGGCTTTGACCTAGGCTGCATGACAACTGGAGGTGACATGGGATATAGGATGCATCTACCTGCCCAAAAGGCTGCTCTGCATGTGACAAAGATGGGGTTGGGGGCTGCTCCAGACCCCCTTCTTTTGAAGTCATGCAGTCTGGCTCTGATACTCGTGGAAGTGAGTTTCTGTGAGTCATGAATATTTGGCTGTCTGCAACTACAGTCTATGCACTGGTTGATTTAGGATGCCATTTGTCTGCTAGGGCTGACATAAAGGCTCTTTGAAAAAACCAGTGGTGCATTTTGGGTAGGTCCAAAGGGCCCAAAAGGGTAAGTTTGATGTGATGTTTTAAATTCATCTTTTGTATACATTGGAAGAATACCCTAATGATGGATTTTTTTTTTTTTTTTTTCACTTACCTACAGATATCATTTTCTGCTTCCTCCAATCCAAACTGATTGTCAAATGCTAGCTGTATCCTTGTTTTCTCCTGGGAACGAAGCCTCCATGTCAGAAGCAGGTTCCGAGGGTAGCTGTTCGGGAAGCGAGGACTCTGCACGTGGCCGTTTCCTGTCACCTGGATGGTTTCATCTCTTCGGTATAAGTCTGTGAGGTGATTGCTCTCTGTTAGTAGTCACAACTTGTAGAAATTAGTATGTTGCTCCAATTACAGGAAAGCAAAAAAAGAACAATTTATAACACATCACATTTAAAGCACTTCTTGATTTTGTTTCAAAACATAATGCCAAATGGTAGCTCTCTGGTTAAACAAACAGCAGATATTTCTTCCATTATCTCCCCACCCCCTCAGATGCTTCACAAAGCTAGACTTGATGCTTCGGGAGCTCTCTTCCCCTCATTCTTGACAAGCAGAAATCAACCATCATCTCAGAACTCAGGTTTGCTTTAGACTGAAATCAATATAAGCAAGTAATTTCAAATCCTTCCCCTTTTCCTGATATACAAATAAATATTTTTTACCCTGGTAGTGTACCAGTACCACCAGATTGGCATCAAAGGGATTCAATAAATATTGCTGAATGAATAAATGAGTGAATAAATAACAAGGAAAAGGAATCTAATGGTATTTAATGCCATATATTTTATATTTAAATGACATTTTCTAGTGAGTTTCTCCACCATTAAAAACAAAACAAAAACACTCCCTATGTTTCTCTGTGGCTTCAAATAGGCCCAGTTTTTATTTTATTCTCCGCAGATCCATTTTTCATATTAGCCGATAGAGTTCTTTGCATTTTAAAGTTTGGCTTTTCACACCCACCGATAAGCAGACCCCCAGCCCTTGTCTATTTGTGCTCTCCTAGAGAGAGTTTACTTTGGCATCTATAACTCAGTGAGCTTGGTCGGGGAGCTTCATTTGTCTGTGGAAACCACTGAAAGATAGGGCTGCTGAAGGCAGCTCTTAAAAGTTTTAAAATAAAAGAGGGCTATGAATGAAGAATCAGCATGTGAAATGCGAAACTCTTTTACAAATGTTTTTGTGCATACGGGGATTTAAATATTTTCTTGAAACATTCAGTGTTTAATGTGTTACAGATTTTCCAGTTAGGCTTTGTACCATTAAAAACCCGCTTCGCCAAATTGATTCTGACTCACAGTGACCCTATAAGATGGGGTAAGAACTGCCCCATAGGGTTTCCAAGGAGCAGCTGGTGGACTTGAACTGCCAATCTTTTGGTTAGCAGCTGAGCTCATAACCACTATGCCACCAGGGCTGGGGGAATCCTAGGCAGAACAATGGGTAGCTGAAGGAGCTGAGGTCAACACTGTCTCTGCAATATCATCATCACCTCTAGGGAGCATGGCAACAAGACCATCTTGTGCTGAAAAAAAATTTTTTTTTTCCAATTGACTCTTTACTTTTGTCTTCTCTTGACCTTATGCTGAATAGAGGTGTAGGTGTGAAAATTAAGTGTCTGCTAGTTTTGTCATAAGTGACTTTTAGGAAATGCGTCTGAAAAACTGTTTTCTAGAGAGATGGATGTGACCTATCAATCAGTCAGTCAACAATCATTATTAAGCACAGACTCTAAACACAACATATTGCAGTATTTTCAACACTTCAGTCACTGGAACACTACTTTCACATTTTTCCCCCATATTTGCTTACCTCTAGTACTATTATTTACTTAATGTTTCTCTTTAAGTTAATATCTCTAATTCAAAGCAAATTTATTTGAAAATAAGATGTTTATCAATATTGTAAATGGAAACTACCATTTGCCATGAAAAAAAGGTAACCGTAAATATAACTATTAAAATTTAAAATGTGCATCTCAGATGTTTCCGTTCCTCACTTAGAAAATAGGGCTGCGAATTTTCTCATTGGTCTCTTTCGGGGTTAATATATAGTGGCTTTATGAATTCTGTTGTTCACTGTTCTACAAGCTCTGGTAGAGTCAGATATAATTTAAGAATGTTCAAAGAATGGTTCCTGTCTTCCTACACAGGGAAAACGAAGTTGATGCATACTGTACAATCGTAAACAGAGCAGGAATGTATATTAAGTACCAAATGTAATGCGGTGGTTGATCAGTTGCAGGATGAGCTACAAGGGTTAATGTGGCAAACACAAGGTCTTCATGGGATCATGATAGGATAAAAGGCCTGCCCAGAGCAGAGTCCAGTTAGACTAAGTGGGACATATGAGGGTGTTGCAGATGGAATTGTGTTCCCCCAAAATTATGTGTTGTAAATCCTAATCCCTATACTTGTGGTTACAATCCCATTTGGGAATGGGTTTTCTTTGTTATGTTAAAGGCGTCATATTAGTAGGGTGTGTTTTAAGCCATTCACCTTTGAGATATAAGAGCAGATTAGGACAGAGGAGCAAGCAGAGATGGGAGCAGATAGATGCCATGCCACATGAAGATCACAAAGGAGCCAAAGAATAAGGACCCTTCCCCAGAGCCAACAGAGAAAGAAAGTTTTCCCCCAGAGCTGGCACCCTGAATTCAGACTTCTAGCCTCCTAAACTGTGAGAAATTAAATTTCTGTTTGTTACAGCCACCCACTTCTGATATGGCAGCACTGGATAACTAAGACAGGAGGTTACAGGTTTTCACAGAAAACTATGGAAATATTAGAAACATGGTAGAAGTTGGTTAGAAATAAGTGAAAATGGGCAATCATTTCATAAAGGTGGAAACAGGAAAGCTCCGGAAAGTGTAAGTGGCTCACTGAAGGGAAGATGAGCCTGTTGGCAGTCTGGAAGGTGAGCTGGAGGAAGAGCTCGCAATGGCATGTCTCCTAGGAGGCAGTTGCTAGGGTGATATGGTTCTGACCTAGAAGGGCACGTAGCAGTGAGTCTGAATGAGGGGGGGAAAAAATCAAAAGAAACTTTCAGCTAAGAGAGGGACTCAAAGCGATGAGTCAGAGGTAACAGCAACATGCTAAGTCCAAGGACTGGGCCAAGTGTGGTAATACTGATACACAGGGGGACTGGGATGGGGAAATGTTTTTGGAGAAATGTTAAGTTTATATTTGCTGTGGTGATGAGGAATTCAAGTGGAATGCTTTAACAGGCTTTTGGTGATAGGGACTAGACCTGAGGTGACAGAACAGAACCTGCCTGAAGTAGGGATTAGTTTAGATAGGGAAGAGGAAGCCTTGGGAATCCCTGAGCCTTCTAAGGAAGAGCGTCCTGAGAAAAGAGGCTGTTATGGATTGAATTGTGCTCCCCAAAAAGATATGTTTGAAGTCCTAACCCCTGGTATTCGTGAACATGACCTTGTTTGGAAATAGGGTCTTTGCAGAAGTTATCAATTAAGTTAATATGAGGACATACTGGAGTAGGGTGGGTTCTAATCCAATCTGACTGGTGTCCTTACAAAACAGGAGAGGAGACACAGAGAGACAGAGGGAAGAAGCCATGTGAAACCAGAGTTATGCTGCAGCTGCCAGACAAGTGATATCTGGGGCTACCAGAAGCAGAAATAAGAATCTTCCCCTAGAACCTTCAGAGAGCAAAGCCCTGTCAGCATCCTGAATCCAGACTACTAGCCTCTAGAACTTTGAGAAAATACATTTCTATTGTTTACAACCACCTCCTGTTGTGGTATTTTATTACTTCAGACTTAGGACACTATACAGAGGCCAAGAGTTGAGAGCTGGCAAACATGCACAGGTAGGGGGCAGATGATGGAGTGCCCATGGAAATCAGAGAAGTAATGCTGGAGGGAAGCAGGGACCCAGAGTAGTGCCATGTCTATGTTGGGCAGTCCAGGAAAGAGATGATTTCAAGGATACCCATTGCTGTCAAGTCGATTCTGACTCATAGAGACCCTATAGGAGAGAGTACAACTGCCCCATAGGGTTTCCAAGGAGCGCTTGGTGGATTTGAATTGTCGACCTTCTGGTTAGAAGCCATAGCTCTTAACCACTGTACCACCAAGATTTCCATTTCAAGGACAAAGTGGTCAATAATGTCAAATGTAGAAGACCAGGGGACTACAGACAGAAGGGACCAGAGAATTCAGCAATAGTAAAGTCAATGACAGCCTTTAAAAGTGTACCTTCAGAGATTTTTGGAAGTAAGAAAGAGGCTTCTTGATTTCTAGATCATCATTAATGGCTAGAATGTCTTAAAGGTTATAACATTTTTATTATTAATAATAATACTAATAATAAAAATATAATGAAATGTCAATTATATTTTTTAAGAAAGCTATGGCAGAGTTGGAGGGAGAAGCCTTCCTGTTTATGTAGTTTGATTAAGACAAAACTTGTTTCCAATTTCATAAATTTGACAGCCCTGTGTTGCACTACATTCAACTAGAGACAAAAAAAGACCATGAGTTTTCTGACTGATTTTTTTTTTCTTCCCTTAACAATAAAATATTGCCAAAATATACATATACACGGAATAAATATGAATTTAACAGAAAACCTGAAGTGTTTATTTTGTGCCAGGCACTGAACTAAGTACTTTGCATGTTACATTTATAGGGTCAAAGCAATTTTATATATGATTTGGTGTGTGTCTGTGTGTGTGTGTGTGTGTGTGTGTTTGTGTGGTATATGATCATGTATACTCATAATAACTTCATGAGACAGGTATTATTAGTATCACCATTTGACAGATAAAGCTTTTGAGGTATAGAGAGGTCAAGTAACTTGCTCAAGGTTACAGAACTAGTAAATGATCGCGTCAGAATATAAACCCAGGGAGTCTGGTTCCAGAGTTGATGCTCTTAACCACTGTGCTTATAGCAGCTGTTTTTTGCTCTTAGCCTGAAATTCGATAGCGGCAATTTTAGATTCTTTGCTATCTGTAATCTACTTTAACTTCTGAATCATATTGTTTACATATAATTTAAAACTTCATGCCAACTCAGTGCTATTCTTAGCAGAAGAGTTATAATGAATTATAAATACAGAGAAGGACCTATCAGGTTGAACCTGAGATAACTACCAAAGTATGATATACAAAGTCACATTCTTTTACAAAGATAATTACTTTGGTGTTCCAATAATAGCTAACATTTATGGAGCAATTACTATATACCAGGCACTCTGATAAGTGGCTTAAATGCATTATTTCATTTAATAATTCCCACTTTACAGGAGTTCTGGCAAAATGGTGCCCTAGGCAGAAGCACCAC